TGATCCGTGGGATTATTTCCAGTTCAGTCTCCCGCCTTGTCTCTTCTGGATATTTATCCGTTGCAGATCCAATGAGCGATACCATATTGTTTGCAACTATTGAAAAAGGTCAAATGGCAAGATAGACTTACATTGTCTTCTTTGTCCGGCTGTAATCAGTACATTGTTTGACAATCTTACTTCCATATTTTAATAGAAGCTATGATGACCAAGAAAGTGTGACTTTTTGTATGATCGCAATCTCCTTTCGTTGAGGCAGAGATAGAGATACCACAATTGTTTAGCAGACAATTGGTCAAAGGATCGGCTTTACTTGTCTCTTTGACGCGTTGAAGTGTGATGCTAAGAATAGCAAAGCTCATTGGCGATGCCAGCAAAACGTTTAGGTGTGCCACGTCCACGATCCGACTCTAGAAATTATCATGCATACTATGGGGTACGGACTAGGTGCGTTCCTCTAGGTCTTCCTACCAACAACCTCTTTACAACGAAAGGAAACTGCGACCATACAAAAGACCACACCATCCTGGTCTTCATACCTGCAATTCTGGAAGTTCTGTCGTATGGCCTAAAAATATTCCATTAAAAAACTCTCGATAAGTTTTCTTCGAAGAAGATTAATAGTTGGCAAGTTTTGAGATTATCTTCAAGAGTAGCAGAGGTCATTCCAAGGCGCATAGTGATAAATAGTTAAAGGTTATATTTTCCCGCAATGATACGAGTATGCCTCATGACTGAAGAGAATTTCATATATTATCTCCTCTCAGAAGATAGAATCTTCCAAGGACTATAATTACGAACTAATGAGTACTACTAACGCGAATGGAAAATGGTTGGTGACATTGTGAGTATCACTCGTGTCAATTTATAAAAGCACACCAATTACTCCTTCATCAACTGAAGTGACATGGAATGACTATATCTCTTTCCTCCTCTAATGACCTGAATTCTATAAATATATTTTTTTTTAATTTCGCAAATTAGTCCTATCCAGGTAAAAGTGGCTATATCCTATGAATTAAGAGGAAAAACAGGCACTAATAATTAAGATTAAATTAATTAAAGTTAATTGATTGTCAAATGGCCACCAAAATAAAGGTCATAATCATTGTTTGACTTTTTCAATATAAAGAAGCCTCTGAACAAGATAAAGCGTCAAAAAGATCAGCGTTCATGTTGAGTCAAGACAAACGACCATAATATTGTGACGGCATATCATTATGACTAATGAGAATACAATCAGAAAGAGAAATAAGAAAGGAAGCCGCATAAATTGATAGGAACTAGAGCTTATCGATGGCTCAATTAAAATCATCCCAAAGAAGAATATGGCCTTCCAACTAAGCCATAGCACATGCCAACATGCTAGCCGTAAAAATACAGACGTATCTTTTCAAAATTTGCATTATTAATATTTTGTTTAACAGAATGGGAATACTCAATATCCAATATATCTGTTCAAAAAAAATTTTCTGATCGTTAATATTTTTTTCTAATTTGAAGCAAGTGCATATTTTTTCTCGAAATTGAGATAACAAGTAATTCTTGTGATGCAAAGCTAAGTCACTTAAGCCAGGAAAAGCAATTTACGGAAGGGACAGATTGACTGGGCAAGAAATACCTGATCCGAAAGGCTAGCATTTTCGCTGTCCGTAGAGTGGTTGCGCTCAAAGCCGTAAGATAACTTCTGCATCTGATTCCCTGCTTGCTGGCGAGAGGAAGCGTTAACTCGTCGCCTTACCGAGGGCGGTCGCTGTTTAGCTCTTGGTTCCGTCACCAAAGTTTTATCTTCTCTTAAGATTGCTACCGACGACTCAGTCTTTACAGATTCAGTAAAGTAATTGTCTAAGGTAGTCAAAATGGTCGAGGAAGAATGGGAGTGGTTGTCTACAATGGATCGTGAAGAGTGGCTATCTAGCACTGGTATTGGAGGACGGCGGGGTGGAGTCGAGGATAGAGTAGAAACACGGTCGGTCGGGATCTCGGAAATGAACTGGACGAAATTTGGATCATGAACCAAGTCTAAAACGGCGAAAAACAGCAAATGGATGAAATTAATAATGAATTATATTAATGGTATCATAGGAGAAATAACCGCAAGCATGTATAGCACGCCTAGTCTTTATCCGGACCCTCCAGCGTGAATAATGCAGCATAGTCTCGACACATCAACCAATACGCCACACTATCCCAAGTGAACTTGGGTCAAATGACAGAAGTAAATTTTAAGGGAGCCTAAATCTTTCCTACATCACGTTTGTAGGATTGTGAACGAAATATGAGTTATATTTGATAGAATAAGCGAATGCGTTACCTAGTAGGGTTTCGAGATTACCAGTAGATTTTGAGTAAGGACTGAGTTCATTTTATGTAATATGGCAAAGTCCAAGGCTTCCTTGAAACTTATTTCTGTCCACCGACCAAAGGTCACTAATGGCAGTATGGTGTAGTGGTTAACATGGTGAGACTACATACTGCCATATCCGGATTAAGTCCCGCTGAAAGTGCTTATGAGACCTAAGGTCGAAACTGCAATACAACTTGGAAGATAATGCATTTTGGGTAGCAATACTATGTAAAATTAAATAAAAATATGATGCCTATTCATAGTATTATGGAAAAATTCAAATACCAATCCCTTATCACGAAATAGGGTGAATGGTTTTTATTCAAGATATTCTGTTATCTTCGAAAGCCTACTTATAAACGAAAAAAGTTAGTATACACCAAGTAGGCATTAGAACACATGCTACTTAGCTATTACTTCCTTAATATTGGCCGTAGTTTTTGGGCTAGTTCACAAGAACGGAGACATGTCCACTTTCGTGATTCATCCTCAATCTTTATCCTTTTTTAATAATCTCTGTACTGCCATCGGCTCTTCACGGTCAGTATGTTTCTTTGAATTACTTCTCTGGGATATCCATTTTTCAAATCTTCATCCCATAATTCCCCTTCCGCTAATCGTAGGCTTCTGATGATCATGCTCCTCAGTATGCCTATCTTCATTCTGTAGTTGTGATGAGATTCGAAATTA